ATTCTGTGCCAATACTAGTCTAGGTGAACTAGATGCTGGTGAACTGATTGAGTGAGAGCGGGTAGGTGTTTGTGGAGTGTTTTGTACTGATTCTACTGACCGTTTATTCCTTCTTCGTCGAGTTGTGACCGTTTATTCCTTCTTCGTTGAGTGATTGGAGGAAGCGAGACTAATACGGGCTAACCATCAATAAGGTCTTGAGCTTTTCAAAGCCTACCGAAACGAGTCCACACAACATGGGGAATGTCGGGTCTTTCTGAAGCTATGATGGTAAACTACTTAGCAAAAAGAAAGAAAGAAAAACAAAATCAAAATCGGACAGCACTTCGGCCCCAATTCACAATAGTCATAACACAAAGCCGAATTGTAATCCCCACTGAACTCTATTTTCAAACTTTATACTGATATGAACCATCCTGTGCAGTCTCACTGTAAAAGCACATATCAAGTAAAAAGAACTAAAACACCTATATGAGGGGGTAGGGTTATCCTGTCCTAGATTTTTGGGATGATCTAAGCTGCACTAATTCAAACAACAAGTTTCACAACATCCTACAAATTTGTGGCATCCTATCCTAAGTTGGAATAGTCACTATAGCTTCACTATATGCAACTAGGTCGAATGGTCAAAAAAGTACCTCAGCAAGAATACCTAATATACCTCCCCCACCTAACACCGGGAAGTGAAAGATGGATCAAGCGGTACAGCGGTAATCCAGATCCAAGGGTGGCATTTCCAACATGGTAGAGCCCATGACTAGTCAGCCTTTTGGGCAAGCCTCCGGCAAACCGTCCAGGAATAGCAGGTGGAAAACACAGTGAGTTAAAGAAACCATGAAAATTCTTTTTGAAAAATCGATGTTTTGAATGAAATGCCAAAAATGGACTGCTTTTCCAGATTTCAAAGTCGCCGCCTAAATATTTTTGGAAAATTTAGGAAATCCAAGACTCGTACCAAAGGCCATTAGTTCGTTATCACAAAAATGTCTCGGCTCAGGAACTTAGGTACGAGAGGGAAAGGTCATGAATTGAACACCCCACTCGCCCAATCAAAGATCGGCCTCTACTAATCATGATGTGATTTTTTTATCTACATTATATGCTCTTGTTCTAATTATTAGTTATTTTACTATGTGATGCGCACACAAGGTATAGACTAGTTTGTAAGAATTGGAACACTTCATCTCATGTTTTGTTTCGAAATTGTTTTGTGAATTTGCTACTTTAAAAAATAGGATAAAATGGATGTTTAATCAAACCATCCCAATTCAAGCAACTAGCCTTCATCCATAGGCATTCAAACAATTATATCATTTAAGCACTTAGCCTCATGGTATTCATGCTTTGACATGGCAACACAAACATTCGATGCAAGATGCTAAAACATAAAATTACTCACCTAGTACTCTGAGCCAAAACAAAGCAAAATAATTAGAAAAATATGCATGTTCCTAATTAATGCAATATGACTAATGCAACTCGCACATTATGTATTTTACAGGCTCGACTATGAACATGGCATATGATTCCATTCAAAACATGCGAGAGAGCACATATTCAAGTAATAAATTTGAACATTTGATATTAAGTTAGCATGATGGGCCGAACCTTGGATGCATGTAAGACAATGGATGCAAAACATGGAGTATGCTAATGAAACATGATATCCTATACTAACCATTATAAGTAAAAGGGAGAAAGACGTGGAGTTGAAAGACATATAACTTATTACAACATTGCCCTCGTGCAAGAGGGTGCGAACTAAAGTCCAAAATCCGAATTTAAACTAATTATTATAAAACTGAATGAATAAATTAAAGCATTAACTAGTTAACTAGGCTATTACAATAGGGGTAATCATGATAAATAAACTAGCTATAACAATTACAAATGAACAAGGTTAATTATAATAACAATAATTAATTACAACAATGACAATTAAATACAACAATAATAACTAATTTAATCATCAAACAAGGATGCATAAGGATGCGTAATGTTCGCATGCGTAGCGTCTAAGAACAACACTGTCTGCCCAGAGCATTCTATTTCACCTTCAACCACTGCTTTCTGTTTTCTACAAAAAAAACACTACTGACCAAACATTGAGGACCAGCCGGCCCTCAATGAAACCTGGCCGGGCCTAAAGAAGGCCGGTCGTGCCTCAATTTCATGTCAATTATGTTTTGGACTCTGTTTGTCCCTCTCAAACTTCTTTGTCATGGGAAAGCCTCGCGAAAAGGTTAGAATTATTTCCAAAACCATCAATGAGCAAGTTGATTGCTTGATGATTTCGATGCATAATTTTGGACAAAAATCAATAAATGAAATGAACAATAACCACCCCTCCCTCCTATCATGGAGTGAACTCAAAGAGAGAGGTAGAGACGCTTCAAGATCCATCAAAACATCATGAATTGATGTAAGACAACTCTTGACACAACGGATTCGTCATAACGTCCGGCCGAACCCCAAGCAAGATAACTCATTTTCTTTATGTGAGTTGGTTCATTTTAAGCCAAATTCATTAGTCTTTGCCATCCTTTAATCCATTAAGTCCAAGGTGATTGTTATGTCCACTAAGTGAGAAATGTGTCAATCGAGAGGTGAATGTCAATGTGAAAGAGAGACTACATCGTTGGCAATAAACCTCCATAGATATTAAGCCATTAAGCGTAAATCGCTAGTTCACGTTTTGAATAGCCTTCAACCGATTGAAACAACACTCAAATGAAAGAAATGAATAGTGAGTTGATTATTAAAATGAGATTCTTAAACATGGAAATGAATTGAAGAAGTGCTTAGAACAATAGACAACAAGCTATGTATGCAATGTTATAAGACAACAACCAAGCTAATCAATGCATGAACTATTTAAAAAACTTAGAACAGCCCTAAAACAGCCTTCAAGTAATGAAAAGCAATGGCTAAAAATGAATTAAAAGAGCCTAAAAAAGCCAAACAACAAAGAGAGTAAACAAGGCTAGCAAACAAGAACAAGGTGAGGTGGCTAACCTCTCCACTTTTGAAACCTCAAAGCATGGTTTTTAGCCTTTTTTAAACTCTGAAAATTAGTGTAGAGAACAAAGAAAAAGAGTATAAAAGTAAGGGTTTGAGTTATAGGTAAAGGTGTAGAAAGAGCAAACCCTTTCTACCCTTTTGGTAGCTCTTCAAACCCCAAACTTAAACACTTAAAATATGATCAAAACAACACAAAACAATAAGAACTATATAGCAAATGAAAGAAATGAAAGCAAGAGAGAAGATAGCAAGCTTATACCTCTCAAGGGAGTAAGCTTTTTGTTTGTAATCAAACTAAGTTCCAACACACTCTCAAGCTTAAATTATGGTGTTCAAAGCTTAACCAAGGTTCCTAGACCAAGGTATGAAGGTGTGTATGATGTATGAATATAGGTTCAAGGTGGTAGGTTAACTCAAAGTGTTGCTTGCACAAGAAGAAAGAGAAGAAGGAGCTCTCAAGGTGGTATAATGGCTTTCTTCAAATTCTTCAACCCTCAAAACAGAGATATATAGTCGTTTTTATAGGATTTGAGCCAGAAATATCATAAATATCTTTAAAAATGGACAGCTGGCGGCCTCCTGCCCAGAATAGTGTTTCTCGCTACCAAGGCCCGGCTAGCCCTCAATAGCCACGGTCGGGCCTCAATGCATTCCCCTATTTTTTTTTTTTTTTTTTGTTTCAGCATCAACATAAGGTGACACAAGGTGTAAAAACGGATTTCTTGGGTATAATCAGTGGGAATATGGGAGGTTTGGGGTTGTTTTGAAGCTTAAACAAGGCTCCTTCGTTGAGACCTTGAACCACACACAATACCACTTTCATCATTGAGTGTACCGGATAAAGCACTCAAGCCTTGCGGGCGGTCAAAAATGGGGTATCCACACCGTGGACTTAACTCTATTCTGAGGTGAACCACGTAAATTCTTATGTTCTTGTGTGTATGTGATTTATTTGATTCGTTTTATCTTTCTTGTTTGTTATTTTGTATCCCACCGATGATGGTTAGGAAGAGTCAATTCCTTTGCACCAATGTTACTGTACATTTGTAGGCTCCTTAATTCCCTAACAACTAGTATCAAAACCAATGGCTAGCGATCTATGGGCAGGTTCTCTTGGAGCATTGATAATGTTGGGCTTGGGCTTGGGCTTGGGCTTTGCATGGAGACTCTCGATAAAACAAGAAAAATCCATGGTGACTCTTAATGGAGCAAAGAAAATTCCTAGTACATGGCAAGGTGGCTCTTAATGGAGTATAGTGGCTCACATTGTACTACATGAAGGTGGCTCAAGAGATATTTTAGAAGTCTCAATATTTATTTTCTTGCTATTACAAAAAAAAAAAAAAATGTTCAACTACTAAGCCAGTCTTGGGAACCTAGTCATGATGATATTACTATTAACAATTAGAATTATGAAAGAATCAAAATATAATTAGTATGTATAAAAAAATAAAAAATAAAAAATAATCTTTGCATCAATTTAAAAAGACCAACTACCCTTGTAGATGAATAATTTTTTACATTTCTGGAATGGTAAAATAGTAAATTTAAAAAAATAAAAAATAAAAATATGACATCAGCCACTTACATTTTGTCATACAATTAAAAAAATAATTTTCAATGGCATTACTATTTTTTTTTTTTTTTCCTAAAGAGTTGAAACACTAAAAACTTCTTAAAGAAAAAAAAAACTAATTCCAAACACAAATTCAAAAAAGTAGAGGCTGAAAATGATAAAAATCACTAATTTCATTGACAAATAGTAATTGCATTCATTGCTAAGATGAAATCAAATCAATCGAGACGACTTGGATGCATGGTCAAAATCAAGCCACTCATTTACGTTCGGTGCAGGTAATCACTCTTCATCATTGTCAAAAGGATAAATAATCAATATCATATAAATGGTTTGGAATAAGTTTTTAATTGGCCACATAATGGTGCTAGGGTTTACTTTTCAGAAACAAATTAAAAGTAGAATGAGCTCCCCTTTGGCCAGTGTTAACGATCCACACAGAAAATCTCTTGAAGAAGAAGATCACATGATTCGCAGCACCAAAAAGATCAAGGGCAAGGACGAGATGGGCGCTAAAGATATGGAGACCAATGATGCCTCCACTTCTATTTCACCAATTTCTCACTGCCCAGGCCCCACACGTGAACTCTCACCCTCTCTTAAGGATGGAACGCTTGCACTACCTAAGCCCAAATCGTTTAAGGATGCACTTGCAGCTCCTAAAAGCAACGATTTTTACTTTGATGATGTGATGGACACCATCTCTCCAGAGGAGGAAGCGGAAGAGAGGGACGCTGACATACCAGAGGCAGTACCTCAAGGCATACCCAGAATATCTCTTCCAAAGCAACTTTTGCAACAAATACGACAACCTTGGACCAACTCACTTATTGTAAGACTTCTGGGCAAAAACATTGGGTACAGATTGCTCTGTACAAAAGTTAGAAACCTATGGGCCCTACAAGATGAATTCAATGCCATAGATTTGGGAAACAACAACTTTGTGTTCAAATTTTCTTCTCAGGAGGACTGTGCCCATGTTTATTCGGGTGGGCCGTGGGTTATCCTCGACCATTATCTAATTGTTCGCAAGTGGGAGCCTGATTTCAAGGCATCGGAAGCTTTTGAAACCACAACCGCAGTGTGGGTTAGGTTTCCGAAGCTTCCGATTGAATACTTCCAAGAAAAGGTTCTGTATACTATTGCTAAACAACTAGGGCGTCCTCTCAAGCTAGATCTCACCACAGCCCTGGCTACCAGAGGCAAATTTGCTAGAGTTTGTATTGAGATAGACCTCAACAAACCATTATGCCCCCGTTTCTTCCTTGGTAAGAAAAGCTACAACATTGAATATGAATCTACCCATAATTTTTGTTTTCATTGTGGCAGGGTGGATCATAGGAGAGAACTATGCAGGCACAAAGCGGCACATCCATAACAACAAGCACCTCCACCACCTAGCCCGACGCCGACCGATAGCAGACTAGCCGTTAGCAATCCCTCGCAGGCTGCACAACCTCAGGCCAACGGTAACCTACAACAACCTGAGAAGGGCACTGCCAATTTCGAACCTTGGATGCTAGTTACTAGAAAGAACCGAAGACCCATGTCCAATCGCAAAGGGCCAGCTCATGGGCCAACTCCAAACCCAAATAAATTCGCTGAATTGGACTCCATCAGCCATATTGAAAAAGGATCCTTTACTGAGGCTACGGCTAACCTATTGGACCAGGTATCTGGAGTGTCTCCTTCTTTATCCCCTCATGGGCCTGAGACACACCTAGTTATAACTAAGCCCACCACGAATAACACTAAGAGCCCAAATCACAGTAGTGATCCTATTGCTCCCCAGGCAAACCCTTCTATCCATATTGTTTCAACCACTTTTGGCCTTCTTACCCCCATCTCGGATGTCAGATCTGTCAATGACATCTCACCTCTGCAATCTCCTTCTCCCTCGAATCCTACTCAACCTAGGCCCCTAGAAGCCCTCAGTAAATCTCCAGAAATCCCAATGGAGGAGATAGGTGAAGACCAGAGCCATCCGTCATCTACAAACCTCCTAACCTCTACCCACTCGTCATCGCTTAGATCTGAAAAAGCTAAAGCAAGAAAACCTCCCGACCCACCTTCTAAACATGGAGGAAGAAGCAATACCTCTCGCTCCCGTTCCAGTCCACAAGATAAAGGGGCATACGATGGGACTGTTATTAGATTAAGGGACAGAAGCCATTCACCGCGTCGACACAATCTGGTGGATAGAGCAACTAAGAATGAGAATCGAACCAGGTTGGAGTACCATTCCAGTCCCTCCTGTGCACTCAATTCAGATGGCATCTCTGAGATCAATCGATCAGGATCATCGGAGAATTGGTAGCATTCTGCCCAGGTTAGACACTGATCCCCTCCTCTCCCCCATGCCATTTATGGACTCTCTAAAAATCTTGATCTGGAACTACCGAGGGGTGGGTAATAATACCTTTAGAAGGCACATGCGAGACCTTCTCCGATTGCACAACCCTGGAATACTCATTCTCATGGAAACAAAAGTCACCTACAGCTCCATGGGGAGCTTCTTCAACAACCTGGGCTTCACGGCGTCTACTACTGTCGATCTAATTGGTCGAGCTGGAGGTATATGGGTCATTTGGGATCCTACTCAGGTCACTGTTCGAGCTTCAGCAGCTTCCAGTCAATACATTCAGGCCACAGTGCACAAAACGGACTATAAGGAATGGGTCTTGAATGCTATTTATGCTAGCCCAAATCCAACTGCTAGGGATTCTTTGTAGGAAGACCTTGAAGATACAGCAGCAAGAATGAACAAAGCTTGGCTTGTAGTGGGCGATTTCAATGACTATGCTAATCTTAGTGAAATGAGAAACTTCACACCTTCTTCAAACCAAACCAGGACCCAAAGGTTTACTGAAAGGGTCAACAACTGTAACCTCCTTGATCTAGGGAGTGCTGGCCCTCACTTTACCTGGACTAACAATAGGCAAGGCATGGCTAACACTATGGAATGTTTGGACAGAGCCATGAGTAATGAGCAATGGCGAGCCTTGTTCCTTGAAGGTACTGTGCGGACCCTACCAAAAACCTATTCAGACCATTCTCCTTTAGTAGTCTACACTCAAGGTATGCACCCCTCCAATCCTCAAAATAGACCGTTTAGATTTGAAGCTACTTGGCTTTGCCACCCCAATTTCATTGATGTTGTTCAAAAATCTTGGCTTAACATGGATTTTAACCTGATTGAAGCCATCAATAATTTCACCCATTCTGTTAAAATCTGGAACAATGAGGTTTTTGGAAATATTTTTAAAAGAAAGAAAAGTCTTCTTGCCCGCATTGAGGGCATTCAAAAATCCCAAAATAACCATTTTTCTCATAATCTTCAGATTCTTAAAAAGGACCTTATTAAGTAGTTCAATACGACCTTGTTCCAAGAAGAACTTCTATGGTACCAAAAAACCTGTACAAAATGGCTTACTATGGGAGATAGCAATACCAGATTTTTTCATATCTCTACCCTTAACAAAAGAAGAAAGCTTAAAGTTCAGGTTCTTAAAGATGATAATGGAAATTGGCTCTCCAATTGTCATGACCTCAAAGCTCATATTCTCGACCATTTTACCAAGCTCTTTCAGTCTGAGGATACACAACTCTTATCTATTTGGGTTAACATTGCCAGAACTGGTTTCACTAGAGAAGATAATGACAATCTCCAAACCCCTGTGAGCAATTCTGAAATTTGGAAAGCCATTCGCAGCATTAAAGCCTTTAAAGCCCCTAGCAAGGATGGCCTCCAAGCAGTTTTTTACCATACCCAGTGGACCACTATTGGTCCTTCTGTCTGTAATTTTATCAAAGATTGCTTCCAAAATCATTCTGTCCCTCCTGAGATTTAATGAAACTCTGATTGTTCTCATCCCTAAGATTCAAAACCCTAAGTCTTTGAAACAATTTAGACCCATAAGTCTATGTAATGTTACGTACAAAACCATTACCAAAATTATAGTCAGCAGACCTAGGCCCTTTCTTTCTAACCTCATTAGTCCCAACCAAAGCAGCTTTATCCCAGGTCGCACTACCACTGATAGCATCATCATCACTCAAGAGATCCTGCACACACTTAAAGGTAAAAGCTGGGGGCATGGTTCTTAAAATCGATCTTGAGAAAGCCTATGACCGCTTATCTTGGGATTTTATCCTCCATTCCCTTAAAGAGCTTAACCTCAATCCTGATTGGATCACTCTTATCATGAATTGTGTGTCTAATGTCAATTCTGCTATTATTTGGAATGGTGAGACTCTCCCTAACATATCTATGGGTAGAGGTCTACGTCAAAGTGACCCTCTATATCCCTATTTGTTTGTCCTTTGCATGGAAAACCTCTCTAATATGATCAGATCAAAGACTGATAATGGAGAATGGAAGGGTCTTAAGGCCTTTAAGGATAGCCCTCCTACTTCCCATTTGTTTTTTTGCTAATGATCTCATTCTTTTTGCTAGAGCTACTAGGAGAACTTGTGCCTGCATTATGGATGTGTTATCTGAATTTTGTGAAATGTCTGGGCAAAAAATTAATTTCCAAAAATCTAAAATGTTCATTTCCTCTAATGTCCCTAGAAGAGAAGCCCTTTCTTTAAGTTACATCTGTGGTATCTCTCTCACTGACAATCTAGGTAAGTACTTGGGCACCCCTATGCTCCATAATAGAGTTTCTAAAAACCAGTTTCAAGTTATTCTTGACAAAATGGCTCAAAGACTTTCTGGATGGAAAGCCAAAAACCTATCTTTTGCTGGTAGAACAACCCTGATAAAGGCGGTTACTTCGGCTATGCCTAATCACCTTATGCAAACTATGGAACTCCCTTGCCACACCTGTGACCAAATTGAGAAACTTAACAGGAATTTTCTTTGGGGCAGCACTGACACTCGCAAGAGGGTCCACCTGGTTAACTGGCATCAAGTCTGCAAAAGCAAGAAGCATGGAGGCTTAGGAATCAGAAACATCAGAGCTCAAAATTCTGCTCTTATTGTTAAATTAGGGTGGAAACTTGTCTCCAACTCTGAAGAGCTCTGGTGTACCATCCTCAAAACCAAGTATCTTAAACACCACTCTCTATCTACTTGGCCCAGTGCTAGGAAAGCCTCTCATATCTGGTGCAGCATTGTTAAAAATAGAATTGTTTTAGATAAGAACATTAAATGGAATGTTGGAACAGGAGAACAGATTTCTTTATGGACTGATTGGTGGTGTGGAGACCAACCCCTGAGCCTTACAAACCAGGGAGCTCATATTGGTCCAGCTACCAAAGTCAGCTCCACCCTTGATGAAGAGGGCAACTGGGACTTAACTTCTATCCAGCACCTCATATCCCCTCAAAATAAAGATGACATCCTTAGACTACATAGACCCAGGTATGTTACTTATAATGACACTCCCCATTGGAGGGGCTCTTCTAGTGACAACTTTTCTACAGCTGCAGCCTACCAAGCTCTTGCCAATACTAAATCTGCTGGAACCAACTGGGGTGGGATATGGAAAATCTAGGCTCCCCATAAGCTTAGACATTTCCTTTGGCTTGTCATGCATGAAAGACTGCTCACTAATCATATGAGGGTAATTAGACATCTCTCTGATTCAGATATCTGCCCCAGATGTCACTCCACTAGAGAAGATATGCTTCACCTATTCATCAATTGCCCCAAAGTTAAGGTTTTATGGGTAAATCTGAGGAACCTTCATTGGTGGCACCTAAGCCAACACACAACTCTACAGGACTGGATTAGGATAAATATCAAGAGCAAGGACCTCATTCATGATATCCAATGGCCAACAATTTTTTTGACAACCTTATGGACTATTTGGAAAGAGAGAAATAAAGAAGTGTTTGATAATTCTACTCAACCTCCCCACATCAGTGTGAAATTCATACTGAATAAGGCTTTGGAAACTCAGGCAGCCTTCCAGAATTCACTTCACCCCAGCTTTAAGGAACCTTCACTAATGTCATGGTCTTGTCCTCTTGCAGGTAAGCTCAAGATGAATACTGATGAATGCTCTAAAGGGGATCCAGGACAATCAGGCTATGGAGGACTGCTCCGAGATGAAGTTGGTACTTGGATCTGGGGCTACTATGGATACCTAGGTAACTGTCACAGTTTGGAAGCTGAGTTATGGGGCATTTACCGAGGTCTTACCATCATTTTGCAAACGGGCTTGGTAAACATACAAATTGAAACTGACTCTCAGCTGGCATTGGAGCTTATCAGAGGTGGATCTAGGGAAAACTCTCCCTACAGGGCCCTAGTTGAAGATGCCAATTTCCTGCTTCGAAGATGCAACTACATTATAGAAACAATTCCCAGGGAAGCAAACCACTGTGCAGAT